GCAGATGCAGACTGTTGTTGCTCTATGAGGTACCTGACTACCTGCTTCTTGTGTTTTGTTTAGTGTGTGTAAGGGAGCGAGAACAGGACTGATGATGTCCCTAGTGGATTTGTGCTGCCAGCTTTTGAAAGAGCTTATCGCCCACCCTGTTTCGCTGTATTTCTGCATTACAATATCGTATTTTTTGGGCATCACTTCAGACATGAAACCACTTGTTTCTCTGTCTCTGTGCCTCAGGTGTGATTTTTAGGACTCCATGTTCACTCAGGAGGGTGAACAGGAATTGGCAGCATTGCAGAGTATTTACCAGCACAGTTGTTCTCTGTTGTATTTTGCTTTTTATCTCTCCCTCTTCTCTCCCAGCCATAGCTGCAGTTCATTACATAACCCGTCAAATCTTTTATCATCTGCAGCCCACTACAGCTCTGTGTCCCTCTTTCTCTCTCTCTTGCTCTCTGTCCTCACCCTGCAGGTTAACCATTACGCTTCTTTCCCGTCCTGTCAGTTGGCAGAAATATTTCTGTGTGTTAACTGTAAAGGGGAGGCGGGTCACTTGACTTGAATGTTGGGTTTTCTGGATTTTGTGACGGGGAGATTGGTTTTTGTGAACTAAGTGCTATCGTATCTACAAATCTGTAGTGTCCTCTCTTTCTCTTATGTCTCTGCTTGGAGGCCCACCTCATGCATAACTGCATTTCTAACATGACACACAGTCTCTGTTCTCCAGAATGAACCTTCATGGCACTGCAAAGAACATGAAAGCCTATATTTATACGTTTGTAACATGCTATCTAATCGTCTCTGCATTGCATTGTCTCTTGTATGACGTGCATACTCTCAGGAGAGTCAAAGTGAAGGTGCTGCACCGCGCTCATTTACACTGTGTGCACTGCACCCTGAGTACAGTTACCTAGTGCTGCTGTTTCATTCTGCTGCCCAGGCACTTGGCATTGATTTTATCTGGAGGGAGGGGAGGAGGATGTTCAACTTTTTGGCCGTACTCCATCCCCAAGAGCTTTCTTCCTCTGTGCCCTGTGTGTTTGTTTTGCTCTGAAGATCTGATCGGGCTGGATGGGTGGAAACAACACAGCCAAGAGAAACCAGGAGACACTGACACACACTGTCATGTCAGATGTGTGCACAGGATGTCAAGTGCTTGTGGTTCTGTATTTGATTTTAGTGCTCATTGGAACATTCACTTTCCTATAGAGAAATGTGGCCCAGGCTGCAGATAATCTGTCCATTTATTGGGCTCTCTTTGTGTGTGAGACAGTTTAAGCATCAGCCTATAAAATCGGTTAAAGCGGAGTAAAAATCTGACTAGTATTGTTAAAGTAAAGCAGGGACTATATTTTATATCTATCAGCTATATCGTTGATCGTCAGTAAGGCTTAAAATCTTTGTGCATAAGTGCAACATTGAAATAGTTCTCTCCTTCACTTAATATTTTTCATTAGTGTCATTGCACATTGTATTTTGGGATGGTCTC